ACACACGGTAGAGAGACGTTTACTGAATACTTGGTTAGGCTTCCGAGAAAAAAGTGACTAACAAGGAAGTCTTGAAAAAGCCCCTTGATGGTTTGGGGTTGAACCAAAGACGAAGATTATGGGAAAAATTGGAAGAGCTTGGAACAAAAAGACTTTGTGGCGCAACTGTCGTTTTTCTTGGCAGGCTCTTCCTCAGGACACTGTTTATCTTCTTACCACCGCAAAAAAGTTCAGGCCAACTAATTCCCCTTGGTTGAATAGGGATAAAATCGCTCTAGAAGTAAACAATGTCCCCGTGTCACAGTGTCAGGGCGTTTTTGCTCTCGAGAGCGATGCTTTGCTCGTTTACTCATCTGCGGATGTATCGGTGCGTTGTTTGTGCTGCGAAACGGCCGGTGTCATCACCTCGTCTGAAAAGTCTTTGAAACGGACACCTGTTGTGCGTATGGCACATAATATCTCACTGAGGCGCAAACACTGCTGTTCGGCTTCTCACTTGGCATGCACGACATGCCAGGGCACAGTATCCGCGCGTCAATGTGGTGTTACCGTAACCGATCTGTGGTGGTAAATGAAGCACAAGATCCCGTCTCACTTCTTCTTACCGCCGAGTCCACATGCGTCTTTCCCGTAAACAGACAGCAGCCAGGTCTGTTGTTCTCCTTGCGGCTGCTCCAGGGGCACAATGGCTCAATTTCGCGAGCGAGGTGTTTTTGGGTACCATAACAAGCGCAGCAGCAAGTGATTGTGAAGACAAGAATCGCGGCGACATGTGTGTTTATGCGCTCGCGACCATGTGTCGCTAAGCTTGGGGCCTGATTATGGTCGTCATCATCGCATCGCTCGGCTACGTCAAGTGCCACTGGAGAGCATCGTTATGATGTGCGGACGACAGCCATTCAGCTATTCAGCCAAGCCCAGCGCAATCATCACTAAGTGATGACCATGTTTATCAGCGTGTTACGCTAACAATGCCCCGCGCGTTACGAAATGGCCCGGGTCTTGTTGGGGAACGCGATCAGCACATTGGGCTTCTTTTGGCCTCTAGAACTCGCTTGAGCAATGGCACCGCACAAAAAACTTTCTATAATGGTCTGCTTTGCTAAAAACAAAAATGTCGTTGAAATACCCGAAAGCAAACCGTTAATTGCAGCCTTGCATCAAAAATTGTTGGATGAAGATGATCTCTACCTGCTCTCGCTTCTCTCTCCTTTAGCAGACTCTGAAGATGATCTTAGTGATGAAGAAACACAAAAACTACCACTGAGATTGCAGTACTACGAAGGAAAAAGAGAAAAGTCACTAGAAGTGCGACAAAAACTGATCGAAGCTCTATATCAGGTAATTCCAGCTCAGCTGAATTATTCACA